TAATAAATACTATCCTTTTAGTTACAACCCAAAGCAGCGTGACAGGCAATGTCAAGAAACTCTGCGCTCTAGGCCTGGATGATACCTAAAAATAATTAGCACATTATTTTCTTGTTAAAATATAATATTTAAAACCCCGTTTAACATTTTTTCCTAAGTTCCTACATATAAATCTTTTTCTGAAAGAAGACACCACAGCTCGCCCTCTTGTTTTTGACTGGTTCACGCTTCTGAGGTTTGTGAATTTGCGGGTTTAAAGTTCACCTAGGTGAACTTGCCGTGAAGCAAAATTAACCGCTACTGGAAGCTAATTGCTTTCTCACGTCCCCACATGCTTCCCCTTCAACCAAATTGGCTTTTTGCCAGTGAAACTGACTGTGACTTAGCACACACATGCAAACACATGCATTCATGGCTGTTTCTTACCTTTAAATGACGCACACAAAAGCAACTTGTGTGCTAATAGCTCCCCCTGCTGGGTAAATTTCAGATTGCCACATGGGTGAGTAATCAAGTGAGTTCCATAGCCACATCCATGTGGTCTACAGATATAATGGAGTCGCTCTGGAATTCAGTTACAGTTGCCGTTGGGAAACCATGAAGAATTACATTTTCATAATGTAAATAACCTGAATGATTAGGACATTAAACTGAACAGAAAATTCTGAGAGTTCAGCAGAGAGAGGGGAAAACTTACTCTAATGTAGCCCATTGACTTTTAAATCCTAATCATCCATTGTCTTAACATTAAAAGAAGGTTTAATCTATTATGTGTATGCATTATTTAATATTACTTGGCAAACTATTTATAGTTAAATTGTCCCTTCTAGTTCTCTGACAGTTCTCTCTCTCCCAACGTGGCAAGCAAAGCATCATCATTAAGGTTAAGGCCTTTACACACTGAGCACCAGGGGCGTCATTAGATCTAAAATGTCACTGTGCCCCACTAAAGTCATGGTGGTAAGAAGTCAATAAGAAAGCCATAAAGCTTTCCGTTTTATCCTGGTTTGCTGAGCAGATCTACAGGGCATGCCACACAAATTCACTACTGGCACAACATTTTACACAGTGCACGAGCATCTTTCCAAAAGCTTGAGTGGCGAACGAGTCAATTTCTTCCTTTTTTATGGAGTAAAGGACATATATATTTAAAATAAATATTTAAATGAAAGTCAGCCACATAGCAGACACGATAATGATAGCTCATTGCTATACCTTTTGGCTAGCCACTTATAACTGTATACATACATACATACATCATCTAAACCGCTTATCCTTCTGGGTCGCGGTGGGGTGCTGGAGCCTATCCCAGCTGTCATTGGGCGGAAGGCAGGATACACCCTGGACAGGTCGCCAGTCCATCGCAGGGCAGACAGACTAACTGTATAACCTACCCAAAATACATATTAGAACACAAAAGCAAATGCATTAATTCTATTAGCAGAGGCTTTATTTAGCTAGTAAAAGGGGCACTGATAAAGCAAGCTTGCAAAATGAGTGTCATGGTATAAACAATGTACCAGTAAACTACTCATTTTGCAAGCCTGTGTTATCTATGCAAGACAAAATCACAATCTCATGTTTTTTTCTGCCGCAAATGAGTTAATTTATATGCATGTGTGAGACAATAAAATTAAAATAAAATGAAATGTGACCATTAGACAACAAATGAACCTTTTCTCATGAAGCGAAAGAGCAGTCAGAGAATAGGGCAGGAGGGATAAGAGCAACAGAAGAGGGAGGAGAAAGAGAGAATACAACAAGAAGGAAAAGGGAAAGGACCATCAGAAAAAAATATAAAATTAACAAAAATTTCTTCTTTTCTCGTCCATGGCAGAGTTGCGCCCACTTTAGGGTTAAATCGCTCAATCTATTGTTTAACATGTTTTTACCAGATGCATAAAGTTGTGCTGCTACAACTAATTGGCAAGCAGAGAACTTTGGCTGTGCCCCTCTTAATTCTGTGTGCGCCCCAGATCAACAAGTAGTCTAGAAATGCTAAGCATGATGTATTAATGCAATTTATTTGGATGACAATAAATCAATTTGAGAATGCATAAAACTGCTGATATCTTGTAAACCAAATGCAATTTTTTAAACGGTGAAAATGCACAATTATTTTATTTGCCTTCTGTTTGGGTTTTCTGAAGTTTCACATGAACTGTTGTTGGCATAGTGACAAACAAGCTAACAAATCAGCTGTGTCCTAGCAACTAGAACTTTTTCACAAACGTCAAAAGAACCAGAAGCTCCAAATGCAGCTCTAACAGGGCTACGAACATTCATGTAATATGTGGAAGCACTCAAAGTTTTAGCTTCTGAATGAAGCAATGAAGCTCTCCATGCTACTTTTACTTTTGCAAAATGGAGAGTAGCCTGCCCAGCTTAGCTGAGACCCCAGCTGAGTGTGAAAGCACTCATATAGTGTTAGTTACTGAATGAGGCAGTTCTCCTTTTTCTAAAGCAGACAGCATCCTGCAAATCATGAGAAGCAAGGAGTAACTGATTTTTATTGTGCCTGTTTGTTTATTTCTGGCATAAACAACACAGTGCAATTAAAAAGAAATGTGCTAAGTCCAACGTTTATAGTTTTGACACTGAAACATCTTTCTAAATATTTTGTATTTTCATGATGTCTGTTCACGTCATTCGGTGTGTAACAGCCTTTACAGGCCAATTGTCATCGATGTCTGAGTGCACTGCATTGTCACCTAAGCCCACTGTGCTGATCACATGTATTTTATTTCACAGATATTAAAGGAAAAGTTTAAAAGCATAGTCAATCCGCCAAAACATGCTTGAGGTTCAGATTTGCATCGTTAGTTTTGCATTGGAGTTGCGAGGCTAATTTGATTAGATTTAATTTTTCACCAAACTATTCCTGTAAATGTGTCACAAGATAAATAAAGGGCCATCAGAAAACAGAACACAAATGCACGTCATACAGAGTTGACTGCATTCGTTCAGGCCCTGTTGTTGTCAGGACAATAGTCTTGGTTCCATCAATGCAGGAATTGCGACCCAAATCTGTCATAATTCTGCAGTCGGTAGCCCCCATGCCTGGCCTTCTTCAGCACTGAATCAGAAACGTCCTGAATATCGCATTCTGATGCGCATTCCGACAAATCTATCAAACAATTACCTTTGATAGAGATGCCAATGGAGTGGTGAGATGGATTATGACATGGTGTGCTTCTTCTCCCAGACGGATCAATTAAATGAAAAAGAGATGAGAGCGAAGAGATGAGAGGCCTGGGCTACAGTACAGATTTGTGCAGAGGGGGCACTCCGCTACATTACACCACCGTGCACTTTCCGGCTCTGTCCCGGGGCCCTTTCAGGAACCAACCGCTTTTAGCGCGTCTCAGCAAATGGATTTAATTGATTTTCCCTGCACCGTGATTATGTTGAGTTTATTTTGCCACCGATCCAAGATCCCATGTGAAATGAGTTTGTTGAGAGGTTGCAGGGGGTTTTCATTTAGAGTGACCAGGAAACCGAGCTTATATTGCTCGGAGTGGAAAGTAGCACTTGGTGCAAATGCATAACACTTTAAAACAGGCCTGTGTTTCACGCAATGCAATGTAATTTATTTCATAACAGCAGATATTTGGACCTTGTAATGAGTTTTTTTTTCCCATTCGTAATTCTAGTTGTAAATGTATGGGATGGAGGAATGTTCAATAGATGCTTGTTTTTCAGAACGGCACTTTATCTGCCCCCCTGCCATTCTCCGAAATTGCATTCTAAGTTTTACCTGTTTGTTTTTCATAGGTTAAAGTCAAGTTAAAACAGTTTGAAATTTGAATAAGACCATTTCCAATTTTTCAAATCACTGTTATCACTCTTAAGGATTTTAAATGTCAGAAGCAATTTCTTCCATGCCTGGAAAAGAGGTTTAAAAAAAAAAGTAAAAAAAAACATGAAAAAGACATTAAAGTCAAACTCTTCAAAAAACTATTAATGGCTGTTGAATGTGTCTTTTAACAATCCATATTTGTGTCCAAAAGCTAATCAACACTATTGTCGGAAAGGATTGTGGCGGCAGTGCTGCATCAGAGCTGGAAAGAAAGCCGAGGTTTGTTTAATAGCTGCCGTTTGTGTGGATGCTGAAATTCGGAGTAATTGGGTAACAGAAGAGGGAGACAGCAGGTGACTGTTTTTCAGAGGTTGTCTCTCTTTGGCGTCCACTTCTAAACAATCACAGCGTCTATTCTTTCTGAAAAGCCAGTTAAAATAAATCAAACAGAAGCCGTTTAAGGTGATGGGGAAACAAGAGGAGCTCTCTGTGGCCACAAAGAAGGACGACAACGACTCCAGCTACAAGCATGAAGTTGGTGAGGTTAATTTAAGACTTTAATTTAGAACTTTGTAAACAACTAAGTCGGCATGTCCTGCAGCCATGTACTAAGTGCGAGGACCACTGAGAACTGTCTTTAGGGCGCAACAGCTGGGCCTGTTGGCATTTACTACATATTTAACCACTTTGTGTAGCGAAAACTAAACAAACTCAAAGTTTTCTAGCAACCAAAATGGCAAAAAATCTTCAAAAATAATTGCTCGTTGTCAACTCCAAAAGAAAAAAAAACACCGCTTATGAACTTAAGTGCAGTTTTTCAACTAAATGTCACAAATAAAATCTACCGACTACTGCACTTGTCCAGAATGAACATCTTTAAATGCGCTTTTGATTTAGCATGACCCAACCGACGCCTGTTGAAAGGTTCTCCCCTGCTGAGATCCAGAGAGCTACTCCCCTGCTGTAATCGTACATGATTTATCAAGCCCTGAACACTGTGTCAGACCATCTGCGTCAGCTCTTTCCTTTCCAGGAACAACCTCCTCCTCTCCACGACTGGCATTAAACATGTTGTTTTTGACAGAAACCGTGGAGCGTCACCTGACAAACTCTCTTCCACGCTTTCTTCCTTGTACCCTTTTTCCATTTTTCCGACGTTAGTGACGAAAGAAAATCAACAGGCTTTAAATGAACCAGCATCTTTTATTGGCAGCGATTGAGATGAACTTCATACTGTTCTGCAACGTTCATAGCCTTTCGCTGAGGCTCACCAAGGGGACCAGCCAAGCGGTCACGACCCCTATGTGTCCATATGAGCATCTCTCCTTCCAACTGCGATAACATTCACCTCAAGCTTTCTCAGGCAGTGCATACAGCTCCACTGATACGCTGACTCCCGAAGAGAGATGCAACTCCACATATAAAGACATGATGCAGGGAGAGAATCCACACAAGATACTAATCAAAGCTGAACCTTCCCAATTGTTTAAGAAACACTGTATTACCACTTATACATAATGACGTCACCAGTGTTAAATTAATTATAATCAGTCTTCTCTTTAGAACAATGTGAGGGCTAATTTAACACTGTAAGAGTTAATTCAATGCTGGGAGAGTTAATGCAATGCTGGTTATTTTACTTTATCACTCTTCAAAGTGAAGGTTCCAGATTGGCTCTTGGCTTGAACATACAGTACGATGCAAAAATCAGAGACCACCCTTTCATTTATTTCATTTCTAGACAAAACAGACATCAAGTACACGTTATTCACTTTTTTTAGGATCACATTGTGCAGAAGCCTCAAAAACTAAAGATAATATCAGTACTTAGTGTGTTCACCCTTTGCCTTTTACAGCTTCCATTATTTTCAGGAGACTTGCTTTCAGTTTTTAAAAGAAATCTGCAGAGATATTTTTCCACACCTCCAAAGTTTAGTCTTAGAAGTTGGTTGCATTTTCTTTGATTTCTTTGCTTTTTGTAATCCAAATACTCTCAGTTACAAATGTAGACTCATCGCTCCATAAAACCTCACTCTACATCTCAGATGTGTGCAAATTTTCTTCTTTTTATTTGTCTATTTCCTTTTTGCGGTAGGAGCTCCACATCCTCTCAAACTAGTGTTGAGTCTTTTTCAGATCTGAAGCAAGAGTGGAACTTGGTTTTCTCCTCTCTCTCAAAGATGAAAGCTTTAAGTGCTATTTATCTGATAGTGACAGTTTTGGTGGTCTACCAGGTCTTGCATGGCTGTTAGGAGTCCCATTTTCACTACATCATTTAATAATTTTTGAACTCTAGCTTTGGAAACTCTCCTCAAAAATCTCCTAAAAATGAATATTATGCACTTAATGTCTGTTTTGAATGAAAATTAAATAAATGAATTGGTCTGTGACTTTTACACAGTAGGTTACATTTCTAGGAAAATCTTTCATTGACATAATCTTTACATTATGTGGAGGGTTTTTCACATTTGCCCATCTCATTTACAAAAATCTTGAATAGTCCTTTATTGAACCAAAGTTGGGTTTTATATGACAGGGGTCCTCTATGACAATCCAAAAAAGAGTCCAATGTGGCTGCAGGTTTTCATCCCAGTCAAGAAAGGACACATCATCACACTTGTTTAATCAGTTGATCTCAGTCTTCAAGTAGTTGATGAGTTATCCGAGGTATTCTCCGACTAGGTTGGAATGAAAATCTGCAGCCACATGGACCCTTTTTTGGAAAAGATTAGCGACTCCTGTTCTATGGCATCGCTCCAAAGAGCCCTTTTCAGGAGCTTTATTTTCAAGAGTGTAGAGGGCTATCATAGCCTTTCATCTTCATGTAAGAACAGATATTGAGAAGCCTGTGGTAGACTACAATCATCGAAGATAAAGATCGCTGCAGAATAAGATACACTGTTTTCAGAGAGAAATTTGTCTCAGAATGATCTGTTGTGCTTGGACAAGAGTGGAGAGGAGGACACATATTGCAAATGTTTAGTTTATGTCTGATGCTCAGTCAGGCGGCACTAGAGAGCAAGAGCGAGTTGTCTTCCAGAAAACACAGCGTACCTGGGAATGGTCTAGAAACTGGTATTCATCCAGAGTAACAGTTCAAGCTTTGAGAGACGTATTGTTTACCTCCACCCAGAGGCTTTGCTGTCCCAGTATTGATCAGAAACAGCCTTCGTCTTTCTCCTCAGTCAACTTGAACAGAACAATATTAAATCCCCATTTCCACCCGGGGCGCCTCCGAACGCTTGAAGTGATGCATGAGGAGCTATAAAAGAAAAACAAGGCTTCGATTCTTTCCTCCACACATTTCATCAGGAGCTGATTTCAGAGCTTTGGCCAGTAATTTGGATCTTAGAACACAACAGGCTTCACCTTTTTCAGTTGCCCTCGGACTTGATGCTGAAGCTGTTCACATACGATAAATTCTGATATTGACTCTGCATTATGATATGTACATATGTACAGGTATGATTCCCAGTAGCTTTCAAGCTATATTAAACCATACATCACTTCCATGAATAAATGTCATTGCCTTGCAAAGTCCAGTCCTGGCAGGTGCTTGCAGGCATTCAGAGTTCCACAGAAACACACAAGATAACATGATGAGTTAGATGTTGGAAACATTTGGCCGTTGAAGGGTTGGTTTTTCCACACTCCGGAATAAAAAAATATTGGCACAATTGGTCCATTGTCCCAGGCTCTCTCTAGGAGACCTCCCAAACACACTTCAGCTGTTTTACTGCTCAGAGACAAGCAGGAGAACGAGGAGGAGACAGGTGAGCACCGGCACAGACATGTGAGCACTCACGTGGGCAGAGTTACCGTGTGTGTTGAAGGGAATGGTGGAGTCGCCCCAAAGTCTTTCATTCTCTGTGTCCTACAAGACAAAAAAGACAAATGGGCTCTTGTAAGTTTACTGCCATCTGCAAATGTTCCCTATGTTTCAATTAAATATAGAGTGTTGCGTGCATTGCATCACTTCAGCTTGATATGTAGATGTGTTTTGTAATTGATTTCAGTAGTTTTTTAACATACTGCACTTGCTATATGAAGCAGAAAATGTATCTCCCATAGGCTTCAGGCACAGATGGAAAGCTATATTCTGTCGAGGAACCCCAATTAAAGCACAGCTTTAGAAGTTGAAAGTAAATGCTTGCTCAGTGAATGTGAACATGAAGAGTTTCATTTCAAAATACTGTATATCCATTTGGAACTATACTGAATATAATGAGTTTTTAAAAAGAAAAACAGCTGGCATACAATGGAAAACACATTTGTATCTCTCAAATAAGAGGTGGTATTAATCATGATATACACTATATGGCCAAAAGTATGTTGACACCCCTGAGTTCAGGTGTTTCAGCCACACCTATTGCTAACAGGTATATAAAATCAAGCACATAGCCATGCAATCTCCATAGACAAACCCTGGCAGCAGAATGGGTCATACTGATGAGCTTAGTGACTTTAAACATGGCACTGTCATAGGATGGCATCTTTTCTAGAAGTTTGTGAATTTCTGCCTGCTAGATCTGCCCTGGTCAACCATAAGTGCTGTTAATGTGAAACGGAGGTATCTAGGAGCAACCACAGCTCAGCCACACAGTGTTAGACCGCACAAACTCAAACTGTGGGGCCCCCGAGTGCCAAAGCACATAGTGCACAAAAATCAATTATCCACTGTAGCATCGCTCACTACAGAGTTTTCAACAGGGGCTAACTCTATATTAATGCTGATGGTCACTTTAGGCTATAAAGTATATATATATATATCCCAACAAACTTCTTGAAAGTGATCTATATTGTGTTTTTAAACGTGAACTATTGCCTATTACACAATCAGGACAGCTTGTTCTGATTGACACGTCTAAGTGAATGTTATTGGAAGGTTACAGCTTGTAGCTTGTAACTGTGCTAGAGTCCCCTTATTCTGGTAATCTGTAATAAAACCTGTAATTTTTATTAGTTAATTAATTAAATATAGTTAAGAAATTAACAGTTAATAAATACGTTTAATTTAAGTGTAACTGTCTAGTGATTAAGAGCAGTATTGCAAATTTCACTCAACCTCACTCAACATGTTTAAAAATTCAAATATGTTTATGTGTGGGGATACTAATGTCTTAGTACGGTTTGCATGAAATAAATGAAAGGGGGGTTTTTAAAACTGGGAGTAATTGAGTTTTTACCATCACTGGGGGCTGTTACTATGGTAACTTGGTTAACTGTCACCAGGTACAGGCCAATGCCTTGTACTAACTTGAGCTAGTCATTTGTGTTCCTTTTTCACAAAGTCAAATTGTAGCTGTTATATGAGAAATCCAGGGTAAATGGTTAATAAGAGGCTAATGGTTCAGTGCAAAATGTAATGCAAAAATATCATTATCCTTTATGAGAAAACAGCACATACATATATCTGCATATGTACACTAAGTAATGTGTTAAATTAACTTAATTAAAATGTATACATTTCCAAAAGAATATCCTACATCAACACAAGTTTGTCATTCAGTTGACTTACTTTGGGCAATGACAGTGTTGATGTAAAGTATTTTATTTACATGTAAATGTTGTACCTGGAATTTTCCAGGAATTTTGCCCAATTCAGCTCTCCTATTGTGCATATATACTGCTAGCTACTAATGTAATACCATGTATTTTATTAATGTGAAAGTGATGTACAAACAGGAACTCAATTCAGTGCAAAAGTATTAAACATTTAGACTCTAGCATTTTCAGTAGATTCCGCATCCTGTTGCCATAAGTATTAGCAGAGTTAGTGTCAGTAGAATAACTTGAGTTGATAACTGTGATTTTGGTGTAAAACCCAATGGAACTTTTTGATATTAGCACCTGATCCATACCAATAAAAGTGTGTCTGGTGCTTTTTTGCTGTAGGGCGGTGCTGCATTGAGAGCAGCAGCAAATGCTCCAATTTCTCCATTCCCCCTTCTGTAACCCTCACCTGTGTGGGTACGGCTGGGCTCACAATGTTCTGTTCCGTATCCATGGATACAAGGCCGGGAGTGGTGTGGCGTGCTTCTGTGTCTGTCACAAGGCTTAGGTGCTCTGATTGGCTGGGAGTGGGCGTGAGGTCCATTCCGTTCCCAAATGTCAGGAGAGCGTTCCCTGTTCAATGAAAAAAGACAACAGTACCAGAGTCAAAGCTCCGAGTGAAGACATTTTGGGGGGTTGGAACAGAAAATTGGCCTGCTGCGCCAGAGAGCACCCTTCATGCTCAGCTTCTGCTTCTTTTATCAGAGAGATATTTGAATTCAAGGCTGGTGGGCGGGGTGGGCCGCTGTGGGCTTTCGCTGTGGCTTGAATAGGGAAAAGACGAGCGCTCAGTATTCCTCTCAGGTCTTTCAGCTGCACCTGCCTCTCTCCACTTCCTCTCATTAACTCTCCCTCACGAGTGGCTCGGCCAAACAGCTCTCGCGATCCTCACACTCCTCCGCACATGTCCCTCACTTCAGAGAGCCGCAGAAGAGTTACTTCGCGTGAGAGATCTGTGTTTGAACAGGGCCCGACTAAAACACAGAGTCAATAATAAGGATGAATCATTGTTGATAATGCAGAAAAAAGTCCATGCATGCCAGGCAGAGCTGGGGTAAGTGTGCGAGTGACAGTGCGGAGGGGCATTAATAAGAGAAGAGGCTCACCGAGTGCATTTACATGCACACTAATAATAAGCTCATTATCTGATTTCAGCAGTTACCAGATTTTTCAAGTGGTCATGTAAACAGCATTCTAAAAAAAAGTAATGCATTGAACTTACTTGTTTCAAATGTGTACATCTTTTCCACATAAATAACATATATTACATTAGAACTGTTCTGTCTTTGGGTTTACTTACTTTTGGCCATAATTGTGTCTTATTAACTATATTTGAAACAAGTAAATTCATTGTATTTTTTTCAGTGCATGCTACCAAATCTTATGCTGGATTAAACCCATTATTGGCCTTCTGATAAAGACCTGTATTTTAGCCCATATTTGAGTTAGTTGCCACATGTATATCATGAATCTGATGTAATTCACATAGACATCTGACATCATCAATCTGTAGTCGATGCATGTCCATACGAGCTGCTCCAGATCCATGTGCGGTTTTAGAGTGGTGGCCAGTGCACCCACCCAACCCCTCCTTAAACCTGGCTGGATGCCACCCCAAAACTTCTGCCATGTGTTTGGCTTCTACCTCGCTGTGGGGCGGGTGTTTGCACCTTTAAAAGGACAGTTGTTTCGCTATCAGCAATTGGCAGAACAACTGTCTGACCTCTTTCCAACCCCCATGCCCCCTAACCCTCCGCTCACACATTCACATTGCCACCCTGCTGAAACTCAGTGCCACCACTTTGTCACCCCTGGTAAAAAATTCACCACCACTGTTCAGATCTAAGTACGTTTCTCTATGGGAAAAATGCTGCACATTGAACTGACATCATAAGACTGGCAAACTCGCCGAAAAAACAGCAAGCTTTGTGCTGTGCGGTAGTAGCTTTGGCAGAGGTAGTCTGCAGCTTTTGCAGTTGGTGTTGATAACAGTGTTTAAGTTTTATAGTAGACTTGCTTTCATGCAACATCATTTCAGTGCACAGCTTTCTTCTAACACATATGTCGCATGTCACATTATTCCTACTTTGACTGATAAACTACCTCATAATTCACAGGATCTGGTGACAACTGGGAGGAAAATTTAGGCAGGGAAAAACACATCAGGTTCGTAACACTTTTGTTTACCACAGGACGCAATAGCTGCAGTTTTGAAAATGCCATTCATTTTTCTCTAAGAGAAAATCTGTTAAGACCCAGAGTTGAGGATATGGGCATGACGCTGAATACAAAATGACTTCAGAGAACTATTTCTATGTCGGAGCACAAATAGAACCAGATTGAGAAGAGCTGCCCTGGAAAAATTAAACACCGTAGACTTAATTGACTGTTTGCAAAATAACAATGGACATGCCTCTCATTTTACAGTTGTCTCTAAACACTACTTCATGCATCAAGCGAAGAAAAAACTCAGACAAAACTGCTCATAACAAAACTGCAGTGAGAACGACAGTGGTAGTAAATTAGTCAGAGTTATTAGTCTAAGAGATGCTGAAAAGGGAGCTACAGTTTTTGTTTCCTTCCTGAAAATCAAATTATTTTAGACTAAGCACTGTAGAACACTGTTATGAGGCACCTCTAAGACAAACAAAATTTATACTGTATTTGCTAAAATAATTTTAATATATTGTCTTATGATAAATAACATTACAGAAAAATGTTAGGATAAGTTAGTGAATGTTAACATAAGTGAAATAATTAGCTTTTCTTAACTGCGGCTGACAGTTTGATAAATGATAATATGCAGTCCATACAGTGCTCAAATGTGAGATTTAATATTGTAGATAGATACTAATGCACCTGTACACATGTTATTATTTGCATTGTTTCATTAAAGTTTGCTAGAAGATCTTATGTAATACTGCATCAATTAGCACCAGTGTTAGTTTAAGTGTTAACTTCAGAGTTAGCTAATCTGAAGTGATGGGTTTCGTCGCTCATCCTCCTCCTGTTTATTAGACATGAAAACCTGCCACTTTTAACGTCCAGTAATTAAACGATTTACCAGGTTTGATTAATGTAGATATGCTTTCCAGAATCTTCGAAGTGTGTTTATACACTGTGACTTAAATTTAAGTACTTTGCCACCACAACTTCATTTTAAATTATATGCATACTTTGCCAGTTCATGTCTGCATGGAACATCTTGTAAGGTAGTTTATGTTTAAATAACAAAATGTTTTCAAATGTCCTGAAACTAATGTCCTGAAACTCCAGCAGCACAAACAAATGTCCTGAAACTCCAGCAGCACTGCTGTGTCTCCTATAAAAATGTGTGCTTCTAAATTTCTTTTGTAGTGCTGAATGTTTGACAGTAATAGGAACAGCATCTGAGGGAGGTGGGAGGTGTGAGAGTTTTGCAAATGGTCATTATATATATATATATATATATAATATATGTGTATATATATATATATATATATATATATATACCGATCAGGCATAACATTATGACCACCTCCTTGTTTCTAAGCTCATTGTCCATTTTATCAGCTCCACTTACTATATAGGTGCACTTTGTAGTTCTACAGTTACAGACTGTAGTCCATCTGTTTCTCTGCATACTTTGTTAGCCCCTTTTTACCCTGTTCTTCAGTGGTCAGGACCCCCATGGACCCTCACACAGCAGGTACTATTTGGGTGGTGGATCATTCTCAGCACTGCAGTGACACTGATGTGGTGGTGGGGCGTTAGTGTGTGTTGTGCTGGTACGAGTGGATCAGACACAGCAGTGCTGCTGGAGTTTTTAAACACTGTGTCCACTCACTGTCCACTCTATTAGACACTCCTACCTTGTCAGTCCACCTTGTAGATGTAAAGTGAGAGACGATAGCTCATCTGCTGCTGCACAGTTTGTGTTGGTCATCCTCTAATCCTCCATCAGTGGTCACAGGACGCTGCCCACAGGACGCTGTTGGCTGCATATGTTTGGTTGGTGGACTATTCTCAGTCCAGCAGTGACACTGAGGTGTTTAAAAACTCCAGCAGCACTGCTGTGTCTCCTATATAATAAATGGAGCTGATAAAATGGACAATGAGCGTAGAAATAAGGAGGTGGTCATAGTGTTATGCCTGATCGGTGTATATATGTATATATTATGTTTATGTATTACATGTATAAGTATTGTCTGTCTAAACAACAGGATTCATTTATTTATATTTTTAGGATGCCATTTTTATATCAGATGTGATACTACTGTGATGTCTGCCACAGATTCTGCACTGCGTACGGAGCTTAAGGGGTGTGGCCATGCAAAGTGGCTCTCAACACATGCATATTCCTGGTTAAAAAGGGACATTTTGTTATGTCTGTTATTGCTGTTGTTATAAGTGCAGTTGCAGTTTATTGAGTTGTCTCAGAGGCTTGTGTGTGTGTTAGATTTGGTTGGGGTAGCACTGGGCTGGGCAGTTCCCTTTTCTGTTTCAATAAAAGAGCATGATGAAGGACTACCTGAAAATGGCTGACCGTGGGTCTTCTTTTGCACCAAGGCTACACTACATTTACACCAAAATGTCACATCCTTCTGCTTTGATGGGTTCATAGGGGGTTTGCAAAGTAACTGTAGGAGGTGCATTTGTCATGTATTTAGAAAGAACTGAATTATTGACTGACTCATGTTTTTTTCCATTATCAGATTACCTGGACTGCATGAATTATTGCCAAAATCATATTTTTTTCGTAGTTGTCAGATTATTTTGTACATGTCAACGTACTCACTGACTCACTGACGCATGCTGAGAGTCTGAGAGAAGGGGGGAAAAAAGAAAACTAGTCAAAGGAAAATCTGCTTTACACTGTAGAGCTTTCTTCAGACGATGTCTACAGTGGATCACGGCCAACTGCCTCATCTCTGAGCCTGACATGCTATTGTACAGTGCATGAGAAAAGAGAGTGAAAAACAGAGAGAATGACGGATACAAGAGAGAGGTAGACAGAGCGAGGGGCAGAGAGAAAGAAAGACAGAGCAAGAGAGAGAAAGAAGCCTCCCTCTAGAATTCATATAACTCATCACGCTACACTGATAAATGCATACACGGACTCTGTTACAGAGATTAATGGCAAGGAATATTTTCCATGCACAAAACCGCAGAGTTAAAATATGAAATTTATCCCTCACTGCTTGAACAGTACACCAAAGCACAAGACGTAAAAGACAGATGGGATGATTTTTCTTTTAATCCTCTGAAATCGAGCGTTATTATGCTCATTTTGCTAAACAGTTCAAATGTAACTACTTAATTGCATTTCAAGCTTTAAGTTTGCACATAACTTTTTTCATTGGCTTTAATGTCAATGGCGAAAATGTGGTAAGAATTAAAAGCAAATATGTAATTACATAAGTTCATTTGAATAGTACTAAAACATGAACTTGGCAAAATCAAGGCTGCACACACAATAACTTTTAATCAAATTCAAATTATAATAAAATATCTCTTTTTTTAGGATTTTCACTTCTGGAAGAATGTTTTGATGAGCTACAAATGAGAAATAACTAATATGAAATTATATTATTAAATATCAAATAATATTATTCATATATTTAATGCTGATGAGTCACATTATTTTGCCTAGTTAACTGTATTTTGTTATAGCTATATAGTTACAGCTTCTTCAGAATGTATTTATTACTTTCAACAACTTGTTAATTTTACATTTTCATGGTGTGAATGCAGGGTTCACATAAACCTAATCAAGAATAAGAACACAATTTCACGTTGTCATCACTGATGTCCAGTCAAAGCAACAGGGGCTGCATGTTCCAACCAAAATGGCTTGAGTTTTTAAACACTGTGTCCACTCACTGTCCACTCTATTAGACACTCCTACCTTGTCGGTCCACCTTGTAGATGTAAAGTCAGAGACGATAGCTCATCTGCTGCTGCACAGTTTGTGTTGGTCATCCTCTAGTCCTTCATCGGTGGTCACAGGACGCTGTCGGCTGGATATTTTTGGTTGGTGGACTATTCTCAGTCCAGCTGTGACACTGAGGTGTTTAAAAACTCCAGCAGCACTGCTGTGTCTGATCCACTCAGACCAGCGCAACACACACTAACACACCACCATCTCAGTGTCACTGCAGTGCTCAGAATGATCCACCACCCAAATAATACCTGCTTTGTGAGGTTCCATGGGGGTCCTGACCATTCAAGAACAGAGTAAGAGGGGGCGGACAAAGTATGCAGAGAAACAGATGGACTACAGTCTGTAATCGCAGAACTACAGAGTGCACCTATATTGTAAGTGGAGCTAATAAAATGGACAATGAGTGTAGAAACAAAGAGGTGAACCTCAATGAAGTGGCCAGTTGGGGTATAAATGATATATAAAGTCAATGGTCATTCTCACTCATACAGCTTATGGATTCTTGTCACAGTGAAGGTTCTCTAGGGGAAATGAAGTTTTCCACTTTGCTGTTGCTTTTGATAGTTTGCTGCTCATTGATTTATTCCTAATTCTCCTGCATGCACTGTACAGCACAGTCTGCAGAAGGTAGTGAAGGTACCACAACTTCCAATTCAAATGATAAAAACTGTCAGCTCTTCTACTTGTAAATGTAAATGTACACATTGTTAAACATAAAACTCAGCTCAACTTAAAATTATAAGGTACTGGTTGCACAGCTTTTACTTTCTAGAGTTCACCCAACTCAAACTTCATTGATTAGTCTATTTTTTGTTCTGCTTCTCCTTCTGAGTACCCACTTATAGATGGATATGGAATTGCTGGGGTTCAAACTCATGATCTGCTGGGGTGATGGTTTAGTTGGTTGGACCACAGGAGCAGCAGGAACAGTTACTCAGATTTTATGTCCATACATTTTTAATATACAGTAGGAAGTATTTGTTGTTTGAACTGTGAAATGTAGCACAGTCAGATGTGGTGCAACTGTCTAACAATTCATCCAAACATCAGGAGATTGTCTGAAGCCCAGCAAAGCCACAGCTGTTCATAACTGGAAGCCCAAGATGACAAAAAAACCCTAACGGGACTAGGTGACGGAAAAAGTTCCAGCTTGTTGCAAAATGGAGTAAAAAAAAATCTATATTTTTTTACCAAACTAAAATACCAACTAGTGTTCTAGTTGGGTTAAACCAAAAAATAAATTTCAGTGTATTGATTAAAAATGTAGCATCCCAAACTAGAAAATCCAGAGTTTAGGATATTAAACCAGAGTTTCATAATTCACAGTTTGAATAAGCTACGACTGAGAAACAATTAACCCTCTGGGTTCTAACACTGTAAAAAAATGGCTCGTCAGATCAACCTAAAAAAATTACTTCATTTTGTAACAAGCAACTGAACTCAGTATTCAACTCAAACATGACATTGACTGAAAGAATTGTTCATTTAAAGTATTTATTTAGGTTGAACAAAACTAGTTCAATTACTTGTTACAGCATGAAGTATTTTTTTAGGTTGATCTGACGAGCCATTTTTTTCAGTAAAAGGCATTCTCTTGATTTTTGCATATCTTCTTAAATTCATCTTTAACCCCTTAAAATCCCAGGCTTATTACATACTATTATGCAGTAACTACAGTTACTTATTGAACTTCAATGCAAACTGGTTGAGCTATTCTTAGGTTATAAAATGTGTAATAAAACATTGCGCCTGCAGGCGGGCCCTGGCCATTTAAAGGGTTAAAAACAACATGGTACCCATATGTTTCATATGAAAATGCTTCATAATCTTCATTGCTAGATTCCAAAACTGCTGCAGTTGGTCAGTTTCATGCAAAACAGATACATGAATCCACCAGTTACATACAGTAAGAGGCAGATGATGTGCATCTCATCTTCTCCTTATAGCCTCATAAAATGGAATAGAAAGGGCGACTCTACAGATTGAGGAAACTGTTTGATTCGTATTTCTACACTATATTATTGCAAAGCTGGAGAAACATATATAGAAACATTGAGTTTGATGCACAGGTAAGTTGGTAGATCCCAGGGGGTTAACACTGTATTACATCGGTGATAACTGTGATTTCAAAGGGCTAAAATTGCAAATTGGAAAAAAAGCCAAGCCTCTGTGTTTTTAGTTCGTTAGAGAGGAGGGTGAATATGCTCAGATAGTGTATATAAGTTTGCACCACTAAAGAAAAACCACTGGCTTTGGAAAAGGAGAAAGCAGACTCACTCACTACTCACTTGTTATTCAGGCTACTGCTGTGCTACATCCTGTGAGAGATTTTTGTACAGTTCTGTCTGATTAGAAATATTCAGATATATTCACTTCAGAATCGTCTATTTCTTTACGTTATCCTTCATTTAAAGCAGCTGGGACTTGTCTGAATGGCCTTGCTTTGGCTCCGTACTTGAGAAAGCGCTCAATGCAAATGTGACTGTTAAGCAAAGACTACCATCATCTCAGTCGCTGCACTAGGACAGAACACAAATGAGCAGAATATTCCCTCCAACAAAGCAGTTCATTAAACAAATATGATGTTACAATGTCCACACTTGAGATTTTAATGCGAGCAGTATTTTGCGCCAAGGCTGTCCTGACATAATTATGAAAGCAATTTGGCCGTTATTGGAACGGGCAGATTTTTCACTCCAGTGCATTTCTGAGTGGCTGAGGAGAAACACAAATGTAGCAAGGCTGAGGTTGCATCACGGCTAAAATGTGCTGAAGGTGTTTCCATTATTTCGACAAAATGTAAAACTATAAGCAGAGTCATGCTAATGTAAAATGCCCTGCAGATGTAGCATCTCTGATAACGTAGAGGTCATATTGGACTGATATAGCATTACTAAGAACAGTAAGGGTAAAATCATTCACAGTTAACAGTAATATATGATGAGTTCATTCTACAGATATGTCATTACTGATAACAGTAACACTGGTTATCTGAAGAGATCAAAACTCACTGAGGCAGATGTTGTCGGTGAAATAATCCAGAAACTCTGTGCACTGCTCTCTCTGATTGCCACTCGCTGAGCACGTGCACCAAGGAGACACATTGGATGTCGAGTTATCTACGTAGTTAGGCGTGATGGAGCTGCCTGCAGAAATAAAGCACATTTTCAGAACATATTCATTGGCTGGACTTTCATATTTCTGTGGTCTGAACGTTAGATTATCTGCTTAGACTCATTTGTACATTAAATGCATTGATCTAGCATTATGAAAAAGAGTAATGACCTTGGTTGAAGTCACCTTCACATGTGAAACTCCATTTATGTGGAAGCAAAACGCAAAACCTCATCAGCACTCAATAGATAAAAAGGTAGATAAATATGGCCCAGTGACTGCACATTGCTTGTGGGATGTGAGGTACTGTATACTGGTCTAAAAGTCAGTAACCCTGCTAGATAACAGTGACATAACCATGCTATAAACATGTCATGGCAGATATCACATACTGTCATGACAGATTTTGTTCAGTAATATAATAGTGTCATGCTGTCATCACTGATAATTGTAATGACAGATGTCACAATGCTTGATGTCATGACAGCTTATATCACATTATTTTTTTTTAGGTCTGCTCTAGTCATCAAACATTATGTCACATATCTTGACAATGAATGGAAATGGTAATATCATGTTGTTACACTACTAGACACAATCTGTCAAGACAACAGCATATGACATCCATCATGACCAATGCCAGCTCTACCTAATGAGTGACATAAGCAGCTGCTTAGGGCCCTGCCGCCACCAGGTGGCTCCCTAGCAACTTTTGGGTTATTACTGCACCATTTTCTTCTCTAAGATGCTTAAGTGAGGGAAAAAAGCACCTGGGTCAATTACGTCTCAAAAAAGGATCTACACAGCTGGAGCCAAAAAACAGAAAAGGAAAAGAAAAAGAAATATTTTAAAGAAAAAGTATGTTTTGTTTGTGTTTTTTTGTGTTTTTTATGTTTTTTTGTGGTTAATATTATGCCATATGTTTTGGCTTAAAGTTGGACATCAAGATGTAGTAGATCTGGGGTCTGTCTAATGAAGCAGGTTCCACTTTCTCAATAAGTGTCAGCTTCACAAAACCAAACAAATGCTGACTCATTTTATAACAGCGGTTAACAACTTTCTCTGTTAATCCAGGTTTAGATTTTCAGGCTGTGATAAATTTAGTTTTAGACATTTAAACAGTGATTAATCCAGGTTTACATATTTAGACTGTGATTAATACATATGTAGATGTTTAGACTGTAATTAATACAGGTTTAGATATCTAGACTGTGATTAATCCAAGTTTAGATATTTCGACTGTGATTAATACAGTCAGAAAAAGAAGAAAAATTGCCAATCAAACAAAAAAGCTACTGGTGTTCTCAGAACAATGGACTGACCACCATCACTGAATGTGTTTGGGCTCACTTGGATCGTGAGAAGCAGAAAATGCAACTAACTTCTAAGACTGAACTTTTGAGATGTAAAAATATCCCTGCAGATTTCTTTGAACACCTAAAAGCAAAAAAACTTCAAAGAATGGAGTCTGAAGTAAAGAAAACACATGGAAAAACTAAATACTGAAACATCTTTATGTTCTATTTAGCTGTTCAGGGCTCTGTGTAATTTTCTACTGAATAAGCTTCTGTGCTTTTATTCTTGACACTTTTTCCTAACTTGTATATAATGGTTTCTGACATTTCACAGTACTGCATATTCAGATTTAAGAGACAATGTGTAATAACTGTGATTTTAAATACATAAACAACTAGCTGAAAAAAAATCGTATTGTTGGCGAAAACCTTTTGTGTATTCAGTGTGAAACTAAAACAGCAGACCCTCATTTAGGAACCAAAAATAAACCTCAGCAGATGCTCTGTGTAAATGGTTTGTGTGTCTGCTTTCTGTATGTTCTCTTTTGCAACACACATGACCATACAAATACACACACCCATAAGCAATTAACATGTTTCTCATATAAAGTGCAATGACACCTCGTTCTTCCTTATGGTGTGGTGAGAAGTTGAATTACTTACTCAAGTGTTATGTGCCCTGAAAGTTTAGAAAGTGCAGGTTGAGTAATAAAACTGCCCTGCCACGTGTGTGTTGGGGCTGCGTGGCGCTGGTGGCAACACTTTTGAAATGCATTAAGTCTGTCTTGGTGTCTGTTTTAGAGGCTATGAAAAAATAGGCCTGTTTTCAGAGGGGTTATAAAACGGTGTGCATTCCAAGCCAATCGCCATCAAAGGTATTTCACACAGCAATAACAGCTCCTGCACTTCACAAACTCCACTGAGGAGGGTCTGTTTCCAATCACCTAAAAAAGAATCTCTCTCTCCCTCACTCTCTCTCCTCTCTCTCTATCTATCTATCTATATATATATATATATATATATATATATATATATATATATATATATCTCCTGTTCTCCTTTCCCTCTCTCTCCTGTTCTATCTATCTATCTATCTATCTATCTATCTATCTATCTATCTATCTATCTATCTATCTATCTGTCTGTCTGTCACTCTCTCACCTTCTTCTCTTTGCTGTACCTGATGATTGTCCTCCACTCTTTTTCTTTTTCATTTAGTTTTTTTTTTGCTTCATAGAATGTTCTCCACTTTGGCATCCTAGTCTCTGTCATCTCTCTCCCTCTATCTCATTCTAGTCCTTACTCATTAACCCTCTGTCTCTCTCTCTCTCTCTCTCTCTCCCTCCTGTTTATTTCTCTTCTTGTCTCTTTTCTCCTCCTTCTCTAGACAATAACTAGACATAGTTATTTCTGCTTTCCCCTCTCCCTCTTTCTCTCTCCCCTTCTACTTTTCTCTCTTTCCTCCTCTTGTCTCTCTCCTTTCTTTTTTCTTTCTCCCTTTTGCTAACTTATTCTCTTTCTCTTTGCACTCCCTCTCTCCCTGTCTATGTCTCTCTGTTTTTCATCTGTCTTATTTTTCTCTCGTTTTCTCTACTGCTCTCTCTCTCCCGTCTTTGTTTATCTCTCTCCCTTTCTTCTTCTATGAACCATCTCTTACTACTTTGCTTTCTCTCTCTCTTTCTACTTCTTTCTCTCTTCCAACTCTGTCTTTCTCTCTCTCACTGTCTCTTTCTACTTTCTACTCTTCCTTTCTCCTCTTGCTCACTTTTCACTCATTTCTTTCTTTCTTACTTTCTTCTTTTTCCCCTTTCTTTCTCTACTTCTCTCTCCCTTCCAAATCTCTCCCCCTCTCTCTTTCTATAGCCCATCATTTTCTACTTCCGTCTCTCTCACACCCCGCACACTCTCTCTCTGTCTTCTCTCTTTCTCTCCCTTCCAACACACACTCTCTTTCTCCCTCAGAATATTTATACTGCTCCTTTCTACTCTTTCATTCCTTTCTCCCCTCCCTTTTCCATTCTTTCCCTCTTTCTGTCTCTCTCTATCTGTCACCTCATTCTCTGACTCCCTTTCCCTTTCTTTCTTTCGCTCTCTACCTCTTTCCGCTCTCCTGTCTCTATCTACTTCTCTCTCCCTCTCTCCCTCTCTCCATCTCTCTCTCTCTCTCTCTCTCTCTCTCTCTCTCTCTCTCTCTCTCTCTCTCTCTTCAAGTGCAAAATTCTCAGTTTCATTCTTGGTCAGGCCAGTATACATGAACTGGAAAAACAAGGTGGCACAAAATACAGATTGCGAGGAGACAATTTTTTCTCTAGACTAGAAAGATCAAGGATTTTAATTGATTGTATTTTTTATCAGGGTATAAAGGTTCTGGAGTCTTTTAAAGAAGTATGGTGCCATGGGGAGGAAGTGTGCTCTGTATTTGATGACGATCTCTGCTTTGCACCAGAGTTCAGTTAATATACACTGTTGACCTGTGAGTTTTAAGTGTCGATCTTATTTCTGAATGTATGTTAACTTATTTTATTTATCTAATTTATTGACTGAGATGACCCAGTGGGACTGCTGAGTGCTCCCACAATATGACTTGTTTAAGATAAAGCACCATTAAAAGTCTCTCTCTCTCTCTCTTTATCTCACTCTTTTATTTCTTTATTTGTCTTTTGTCTTTTTCTCCTTCCTCTCTTCTGCCTCACCCCCCCGTCTTCATTTTCCCTCTTTAGACCATGTTCTCTGCTTCTGTGACTCTCTCTCTCTTTCCCTCCTCTCATCTTGCATGCCTCTCCATCACCATCTCCATCACTGTTTTTTTCACTCACTCACTCTCTCTCTCTCTCTCTCTCTCTCTCTCTCTGTACGTACCTATTAGGCCAGTGTAGGCCAGTAGACAGGCAGCGTAGTTGCCCTGCTTGCAGCCGCTGGCGGACTGGCCCTCAGGCTGGCAGTCATACTGAAACTGGGCCAACCGAGACCTGCAGGATAAACCACAGCACATAGTCAAGTCCCCTGATCAATAGCAGGCTGAGCACTAATGAGAGTGGCAGTCACAACAGCCAGCAATACAGCACAGCGCTACAGGACGATGATTCCTAATGACACAGGAGAAATGTTGATGCATCAAGACGTTCGCTGTGATGAATCAAGGAGCCACTAACTTTCTTATACACACTCTCACGTGAAAACCATCATCCATTAAATGCAGTAATAGTCACTATTGATTATCTGACATATCAAATAACCTAATGATTATTTTGACGATTAAGTAATTCTTAAAAAATGGTCGCACGATACGAAGTGAACAGTAACAAACCATGCATAACGTAACAAAGATTCCATAATACATTAATGGATAAAGAAAAACTATGAAGCCTTTGAAAAGACTTATAAAAACACTATGCGGCAAAAAATGCATATAAGTGGGTATGTCCATCAGGCTCTGAGTCCAGGAGGAGAGTATAAAATATGCATAATCATCACTCAAATTGCAGATTTATTTATTCATTCATTACAGCCCTAAATAACTGTAACCTAACCACTGGATGTGATAAATCATGCTGATGGACCCCATTCATCTCCTCTGCTTCTGCAAAAAAGAATGTCTTGGCAAGTAAACACATCTTAAGTCTAGTCAATATATCTAATAGTTCTCATAATGAGATTGTTGTAAGAATATTCTAGATGTTTGTTACTTGTTTGAGGTTAAATTTATAACAAATTGCCTTAATTGTCAGATTTTTTTGCTTGTTTCAAGTCATAATGCTGATAATTTTGCTTGTGTCAAGAAATAGTGCTTTAATTTTAATGAATGTAATTTCACTATATAAAACTTTAAAATTAGTTAAGAATATCTAGTTTAAATGAGTTATTAACAAGTTGTTAAGCTAGTTATAACAAGTTAAAATGTCTCTTTTTTTGCAGTGCAGGGCAACATAGCATGTCATCCTCCACTGTCATAATAGTTGCGTTTTTGACCAAAGGCCATTAAGAAAACCTGAGAACAGGACAAGGAACTGTCATACTGCATTATTTTTCACAGAAAGAAATCACAGAAAATGCTTATCCTCATACAACAAACCCCATTTCTCTCTAGCACCAATTATTCTGGTAACAGGGAGGCTTTCTCTGTGTTATTTATAGTCAGAGAGTCCAACCTTATGCTATCTGCGACACTGCTACTTTTCTCCCTCAGGAGCCACAGTCATTAGCCTAACCCCAGGGAGCCTGACTAGTGATAGTTGTAACCCAAGTTCCTGACCAACAGTAAAGCTTACTGTAAAACATAACATATGACTGATCGATAAGTAACAAACGTTCACTTCATCAGTTCCACAGACCAAACTCAAGGCTTTTTTTCCTCTCCCTAGCAGCATCAGCTTATTCCAGCAAGTTGAGGGTTAAGAGGAGAAAGTTGAGGAAGAAAAGTTATATGCAGTTGTATACATCTTAAGGCACAGTGAAATGCTCTCCTGCTTTCTCAGCAGCCTTTTCATTATCCAAGGTCCCACTTGCCTATTCACCGGAGTTCACACAAGGTAAAGCGCTGCTCTTCTTAACCACCTACATAACATATGGTTGCCATGAGGGGTTAAACTGGTTTATGTGAACAGCAGGCAGAGCTGAGCATCCTGTACTACAATGTTATGGTAATGTAAATCTTTTCTATTACAATCTGCATGAAATTCATTTAACTATTAAATGTTATAAACTGCGCTGACAGATAACCCCTATACAGCACCATCCCCTTCCCTTTTAATACTATTCTACATGGATTAATTCAGTGTGCTTCAACCTTTAAATAGCCTAGATTATTGCTGTTGTTTTTATTTTCAAAGCAGCCTATTTCCAATTCTATTCAGACATTGTGAACTAGACTAGCTTGCATAGACAGACAAACTGCACTGAAAAGGCACACATGCATCTTAATATCTAGATGTGCATAAAGAAACAGTCAGATAATTGAAAACTAGTTTTAATCAAATTTCCATGTTGCAAATGCTGAAAACCATGTATTACAGATTAACGCATTTTTAACACATAACTGAAATTTGAGGGAGGACCATGTCTGAAAGCCCTGCTCCCTCCATTCTAAAACCCTATAAATTCTTACCTCTGTGAAGAAGCTTCCGCAGTACCCACCATCACCACCCCATTTCCTCCCTGCTGTCAGTCTTACCACCACCCAAAAAGTAGAAAGCCTTCTAGTTCCAAACAAAAGATGCCCAGAAATCCAGCCCAAATTCTCTCCCCTCCTTCAATTATACAGCCTCCCTTCTTACTACCAACATATGTTGAATATTTTAAAGTGATAGTTCAGGAAAAAAAAGGTACATAGTTTTCCTCCTATCCTAAATTTAGTTGATCAGTCAAGAAATGTTTGATACCCCATATTTGCTTCTTTAGTTTTGCACTAGCTGCAAGGTTACAATGCAAATGCTGACACGGACAAAATCCCCTGGGAAAGCCAACATTTTGCCTGCACATTTGTCCATTTTTTAAATAACAGAATACCACATCTCAGAAACCACATAAGCAAGTCTATTTGAGATTACAGTGCAGCTTGCACAGTGCTAATCTGCTGTGGCAAACCTAACTATTAGATATTGGCCTTCAATGCAGGCCATACCTGTCAAAACATGAACAAAAACCAAAATGTCAATGTGTCCCTAGCACTACTAGTTTGTTAGTGCTAAACTAATGAACATTTTTTGTGAGTTCTAGGTTAAACATAAATATTTGAAGTTTTTTAAAGACACTCCAAGTCCATTCTTGTGACAGATATATTAGCATATGTTTTTACCTCATAGTAGTACAGAGCTGTCGCCTCTGTTTTACATTTCTAACAACTCACTGAGTAAATTGCTGCTCATTTTCACAGTCAGTGGAGTACACAGGAATTCCAGAAGGCTATTTTTTCTCAGGTAATTGGTCCCACCCATTGATTACTCTGGGACTTAGTAATTATGCTGATGATTAATCTAATGTGATAGGCCTTCTCTTCAGCTCTTGAAGTCCTAACCAATAGAAGAGCTCGCTTAACTATATCTCCTTAGATATCACAAAGAAATGAGACTCCTGGTTGGCCAGTTTTCCACTGGGCATTTGAAGAATTTGATCCTTTTGTTTCCAAAACTTATCAATGAAACAAGAGTAGTACTGTAATATTTGCAGTACTATGTTACATACAAACATGATTTTGTTGAATAAAAAAATAACTAAAAATTACAGGCATGTAAATTTTCATTCCCAGAAATCCTTAGGCCTCCTTTGAAGGCACAGAAGGCCCTGAGGCTTCCCCTCTTCTAATCTGTGGCCATAAACTTGCATGTTAGCTACATTAGACATGTAAATTTAGTCACTGTAACCCCTGGTCGCTGTGCTTTGTAGAGTAGTGAACAGACCTGCATACGTAGTCGGCCCTGCAGGTCCTCATAAGCGTCAGACAGCTGGGTTTCACTGGCTCCTCGTAGGAGCAGCTGGGGACGATGGTCTGACGGCGTCTCTCGGAGCAGGCCATGTCGCTGCAGGGGCAGAAGAGGAGCTCATGGGTGTGCTCAGCTGGGACGCGGTCGAAGAAGCGCCGCAGGGCCTTGTTACAGCGGGAGCGGTTGCACAGGCCAGACTTTCCAGCTGGCTTGATGCACGCCGACACGTACTCTGTGCGCAACTTCTGGCACACGTCGTCCACGTTACAGGCCTTGGCCGCATCCAGGCAACGGTTCACCGTGGACATGCCCAGTTCAGAGTCTGTAGAATAAAGAACGGAGCGGTGACTGTAATGAGAAATCTGCAGCAATCAGATGAGGAAATTAAATTACTTATGAGCTCATGGTGACCTTTGGAGTTGACATTCTGGACTGTTGACACAAAAACAGGAAAGAATTTGGGTCAGGTTTTTGCGTCCTGGTTACAATCTCGATAGAAAATCTGGAAAAAACGTCAGATTCTAGATACCTTCATGTCTCCACCAAACAGTGAATAAAGTGAAGGTCAGCGAAACCCAAGGGAAATAAACATAATCATCAAATCAATCATCCTCTCCTTACTCCGTCTCTCTCTCTCTCTCTTTGTCTTTCTCTCTTTCATTACACGCTCTTTCATACCCGTCCTCCTCAGTCGGCGAATAGATTTTTCGGCCAAAAACGCAGCCAAAGCCTATCTGCGTTATCCGAGGAACTGGCTTTGTTGGTGCTCGCGGAGCTGTGGAAAAAACATGGGCCCTGAAGCAGAGCTTGAATCAACAAATAGCTTTCACGGAAGACCTGAATAAAAGGGGGATAATTTAAAGAGATAACACGGTGAAAAGGAAATTGCAAAATAAAGCTAATACATATTTGGGGCTGTTAAATTTTTGCTCTTAAATGAAATGTTACAAGATATCCAGGGTACAAACACATCTAACTGTGCTTAGGGAAATAAGGGTGCTTTTATATTTTAGCTGAATATGTGGGATAGCGTGGGGGAAGCGAGATTGTCTTCGGCTGCCCTTCGGTTAGACTCAGTAGAGAAAAGAAGTAGAGCCAGATAAATTCATCTGAACTGACCTGGAGGACTCAAAATATGATGCACATGAAATGACTGAAACGGCTTTTTCCTTTCATGAATCTTTTAGGTCAGGTAATTAAACCTGCACAATACTGTCACAAGCTCCATGCTATTCATGCAGGTAGTTGTATTTTTGGATGAAATGGGGTAGAATATGGACATTCACCTCCAGAATACATAAGACCATTTACACTTTAGAGGGAATACAATCAGATTATTTGGGAATGCTCTTAAATAAGTGGCCCTGGGCAGCTGTTGGACCGGACCCTATTCAGATCCAGTGATGCAGTCACAGTCAAAACAGTCCAACAGTATAGCAGGACCCCTGGCTATAAAGGATTCTATACTGAATCCTGTGTCGGCTCTCAGGTTGACCCCATATACCCCATTCACATCACATTCTAGCCACATACAGAGCAAGTCTAAGACTTCCAAGTTCCAACCAAAAGCATTCAGCTCCACAGACAGGACACTACACTTTGTGTGCTAAGCGGACTCAGACATACAAGCATATCTAACAACCCAAACAACAGAGAGTGATTCATTTGGGCAGTATTTGAAAATTCAATAGAGAGAACATTTTACATTGTTGTGAATAAACTAAAAGCACAGAAGCTTGAACATTAGTTTATTGCTCATACAGCCAGCATAAGAGGTGAGCTGTACCTCATTTGGTTGACTTAATGATAAACCTTTATGTTTTATGTGTATGCGAAATGTAAATATTTTCATATATAGAGCTCTGTTTAGACGTTATCATTTAGCCAAATGAGATGCGGTATCAGCTGCTAGCGTCCCAACACCCTGCCCAATTAAGCAAATGAATACAAAGTTGCATTCAGATATCTGTATCATTTATTAACAATACCCATCCAGAGCAATTAGGGAGCTATTTGTCTTCTATAACAGTACTTTTGATACTGAAGAATGTCCAGCCTACTGAAGTTCTACAACATCTTTTCAAGCACTCCGCTAACCTGTGCAATATGCTTTTCATATTTGCATATATTTAAACTGCATATTTAAGTGGAAAAGCATCAATTTTTGTGCAGAGCATTCACAAAAGAGGGCCATACGTCATCCACAGCTGACCAATCAATACCAAGGATTCCTTCTGTCTTTGTCATCAAATTGAGGAAAAGCCAATTTTGGCACAACAAACAAAGATTATCACAATCTGAATGTGATTTCCACATATATTGTAAGATTTTTAATGTTGATCGCTTGTCTCGGTCTTTCGTGCTGGCTGGATCTGTGTATTTCCTTATGAATACATTAACTGGCACCCTAAGACTGTCCTGCTCTTTTTTAGGCATGAGATGTGGCAGGTAAAGTAGCCTAAATCCATACTCAAGAGAAAATATCAATGCTTGGATGAAATAATGACTCAAGCAAAAGTAAAAGTACCTTCCCAAAATAACATCAATAGAAGTACAAAAGCACTGGGCCAAAAAAACTACTTAAGAACTGAGTAACTTATGCAAATTCAGCAATTCTTAGTAAATCCAGCATCTCTCAGCACAGGCACTGAAGTTTGTTAGGCTCTGTTCTTCTTTTTTGGGATTATTTTGATTAAAATATAATATTAAAGCACCAAAGTCAGAGTCATGACTAATCTCAAAGCAGTACAGATGTTGTCACCAACAAAACATAAAGATTAAACTCAAAAAGGTATTAGTAGCTCAATATGAATGGCTTTAAAAAGTCAAGTAAAAAGTAGATTCCTTTACTCACTAATGTACTTGAGTACATGTCCTTAAATAAATGTAACTGGCTACCACCACTTTTGCTCCTAATAAAGTGAAAAAGCCAGCTGTTTAGTTCTCAAACAAAGTCAGTAAAATGAGAAGTACATCAGTCTATCATTGGAAATGTACTGATATGTTTACGTCTGTTTCGGGTTACGTCTGAGTCGGGTTCAGTATTTAAACTATTCTCCCTAAATGAGCAATTAAGCATGCATACAGATCTCTCAGAGAACTTATAACAAAACACTTCTTTCTACAAGAATAATTCTTTAGATAATACCAGGCCATATTTAGAAAGGTAACTTGGGAAATTGTCTTTAAAGATGGACCTCATTTACATTTGTGTTCATAGAAAGAAAGTAATCATGACAATTGCATAATGACAGAAAGTTGGCTCTGCAAAGCGGCTGCAGACTTTGTTGTAGTTTTAGAATATATACAGCCCTGTTAAAACTGTCAGAGCTTTAGAAAAGTGGAACAATAGTTATTTATGCAAAGACCTGTTTTCAATGTGTCTATAGGTATCCACAGTTTTGTCTTTCTCACAAAGTACAGTTTCTTGCTTAGCCAGCTTACTTTAAGCTTCGTTTGATCTAGACTCTAGATTTTCTGTCTCATGACCGCAGATCACTTTTTTATGAGGCTACATCACCATAGCAACTTATGCTGCACACCTTGCTCAAAGGCAGGTTAAGTTCAGGATCATAAACAGTTTTTGGACAAATCCGGGCCGAGTTTTTGACCAATAAAGGACATTTTAATGGAGATGGACAACTCTGGTCCTTTTTGGGTTGGTTTAGCAGGAAGTTTTTGGCTTGACAAAGTCATTTCTAAGGTGTCCCAGATGGTTGCTAAGGTGCTGCTAGGCCATTGCTATGTTTTCCAAAGTGGGTGCAAAGGTGATGCTGGGCTGTTGGTATGGTCTCCTAAGTGGTTGCTAAGGTGTTGCTAGGCCATTGCTATGGTCTCAGGTGGCTGATAAGGTCATTGATATGTTATCACAGGTGGTTTCTAAGGTGTTGCCATGCCTTTCGCTATGATCTCAAGTGTTTGCTAAGGCATTACTGCTACTTTGTGAAGCAGAAATTTAATCAGTAACACTGTTTAAGTTGAACACGCTTTGTGAGACAGACCATTAAAAGCTGGTTTGAGAGTTGTTATTGTAAAACATGATTACAATTCTCAACAGATAGTTGTAGGTGTGTATCACCACTCGAAAACCCCTGTGGATTAGACCTCTGCTCTCAGCAACTAACGTAATTAATAACAATAATTAAGGTATTGTCAACTCAAATAGCAGTTATTCACCGTTTCATATACTGAGACACTAATCATGGGTGATTTTAATCTAGCCTGGCTTTATGTCTCTGCTGATATGTTGGATTTGTGTGATATACGGCTTGTGCAACTAGCAGCTCCACTTGTGGCAGGGCCTTTGAGTTAAATACATCCTGAATATTACATGAATATTAAGGCTTTTTATTATTTTGTACACTCTCATTTTACACTGAAACAACTGGTGCTTTGAATTTGCATGATTCAAATGAGTCAAGTGGTTGCACATGAATAAAATGTGTTACATCAACACAATTCTTCCCAAAAGAATTAATCTGAAAGACAGCGATTGTGTTGATGTAACACATTTTATTCATGTGCAACCACTTGACACATTTGCATCATGCAAATTCACATTTTCCCAGTGTATCTTAAGAGAAAAAAAAAAAAAGCTGAAATGGTTCCGAAGAAATGCACTGCTGCTCTACAGAGGTCCTGACCTAGATGTTGATGTTATTTCATCTTTAATCATCGCTCAAATTCTCCAGCTTAAGGCTTAGATTTACTTCTATGCTGAAGAAAGAGATGCATTGAATGTGCTAGATTTAAATGTGTTAAAATTATTTCTGTATTAGCAAGATATTGTTCCTGCCCCCTCTCCCCGTTAATTTCTTTTGTGATTTTTAGTTTTCTGCATATGATTGGATGATGATGAGTGGACCTATAGAAATTCTCCAGAATTGCTCTGAATAAAATGTTTTTACATGAACTTACATTGAAAGTAAAGGTTTTTGCACTCTCATGTAAATCTACCATTTTGGAGGTACATGTTTTTCTTTGGACAATGACAATATTTTTTACATAAGGGATGACTGATGTGTGTGAAATGTTGTGTCCAATACCGATTTTAGGCCTGTCAAAATTTTGATAACCAATAATATCGGCTATTAGAATTTTCTATTTATAGTTCAGATTTTCATTTTACATTCAAGTAGTTTTATTAAACAGTGGATTACTGACAAATATAAGTATCAGTTCTAAATTATTACACCTATTAACCCCAATTGAATAACAGGAACTCACAGTCATAAATAGTATTTAGTGCTGTCTTCAGCCGAGTGTCTGCAGCAAAGCATAGAAGTTGCATAATTGTTTTAATGAAGTAATTGTACATATATATATATATATATATATATATATATATATATATATATATATCAATTTGCAACATCTGTTGATATATTTTGAGTAAGTGGTGCTTAATTGATTTAAGATAAATGATTCCACAAAATATTTAAGTAGTCATTCTTGTAATTTGGGTTGTAATTACTTTAAAGCTTTAATTACATTGACCTAACTAAATTGAGTGATGGTAATAAATATTTCAAGTTGCATCAACTTGAATTAAAGAATATAAGCACTTTTTTCAATTTAAATATATGTGCACTTATATATGAAATAATGTCTTAAGTTATTAATAATGTTTTAAGTTATTTACTGAGCTGCCTTAAATTTGAAGTTTAAAGGGGAATCCCACTGACTTTTTTAAATTTCTGCATAATTCATCATTGATATGTGCACAAAGTCATTCAGAGGGGTTTGATGTGAAATCATTAAGTGTAGAGAATCCTACAGACTCAAATTTCTTTACAGTGGTGGTGATAGGACTATCAGTACCACCAGTGCAGCTACATGTGACCTCTGAGTCTCTAGATGGGATGTTGATAATGCATCCTTGTTCTGTTCATTTACTATTAGAAGATTATATAACTCAATTTAAATTCATTTCAGCAGCCAGGTAATTAACTTTAATACGCTAGCATAGCATTTTATCTATGTGTGTATCTAATCCTAAACATCTGACTTGATTTTATGAACTTAAAAACATAAAAGATAACTGACTTAATTACCTTAATTATATTAAGTTCTGCTTCCTTGTGCAGGTTTATAGTGTATTAATTTTACTAAATACCAAAATAAAAAAAATAAATAAATAAAAAGAAATGAAATAAACCTAGACTTTTCCTGTAGTGGGCTGAGCAATAGATGAAGCTGAAGATTCAGTAACCAGTTAAAAAGTTATGGTGTGTTAGATTTGTTTGAAAAATGTAGGAATCTTACACATTTCAAAAGGAATTCCGTATGTGATCGATAAGAGCTCAAAGGAATATGAAATTTGAAAAATATTTAGAATTCACTGTTGTTATTCCAATGGCTAGTTTACAGTCTAACAAATAACTGCCCCACTGCACTGTTGCAGCTGTCTCTGGGATCAAGATAATTGCAACAAATGGGCGCCTTGTCTTGACACACGTTGTGAAAAATATGAATTATGCACAAACATTTTTTACCCTGGATTTGTTCATAGACAGATACAAGAAATACAGAGGAAAATTGGATGATTTCTGATGACAGTTTTTGTTTAGTAGTTCAAGAAACAAAAAAATCTACAACCTACTGTTAATGCATCTGTCTGGTTGAGCTATCATTTACATCTCCCTCACTTGTTCTTACACAGCCCACTCCTGAGCAAGCTAAACATCACTCTACAGCCCTCGGTTACCTGGTTCATGTATTTCAGGAGTTCGAGCATGAGAGATATGCTGGTTTCTGTTGTATAAGACATTCATTTTAGCACAGACGCCCTTTAAACTGCACTTTTCTTGTGTTGATATTACACTTCTCACTTGTGAGCTCTTTGTGAACCAGGTAGCTTTTGACATGCAGGGTGCTTTTAATAGCATTCAGAACTCCTGTCCAGTTACCATGGATCTTGCTTATAGCTAGAAAGCTCTGAGAGAGGCGCTGGTACATTTCTATTTACAAAACGCTTTTTGTCAAGTGTTCTCTTTTCTCTACTTCTTTGTAATTTCTCACCAAATGTAAGACCAGCACTCGCCCTTTTGTTCACTGTTCCAACTGCTGCTTCTGAAGTAGGTCAATACTCATTTTATTTTCATGCTGTATGTTTTTGGAACAGCATAAATAATGCACAGAACCTGGGCAATATAAATCTGAATAGAAAAAGAGGGTGAAATCTTCCATGGGCAACTGCCCATCCAAATAGAAGGCCTTCAATAAATAAAAGAATGGCTTTATTTGTAAATGGCATGGTCTTGGTGTTGCAACCATCACCCAAATATTTATTCTACATAGGAGCTTAACAATATGTGACTAATGATTTGTATGAATTATAGTCACTATGTGTGACTACAATTGCCCAAATAGCTTGGCCAATGTTCATACCAGATGTTCAAGTTTATATCAGATAAAAATTACTTACTGTGTAATCTTAGACTCTGAGCTCTGTTTTAAAGTAGCTTTTTATCATTTGAGAAATATTGCTAAAGTCAGGCCTTTTTATCTCAGAGTGACGCAGAGAAACTTCATGCATTTGTTACAAGCAGAACTTATTACTGTAATGCTTTCTCTACTGGGCTTCCTAAGAAAACAATACATCCTTTACAAGCATGGATCCTAACAAAAACAAAACAGAGAGATCAGATCACTCCTGTTTTAAAAGAACTGCAGTGGCTGCCTGTATCGTTCAGAATAGATTTTACAGTTCTGCTACTACAGGGAGATTCACTCGAAAGAGGCCCTGAATATTCTGTAATAACTCTCGCTAGGACAAAGCAATCTGAACGAAACAATGCGCAATGTGCTCCTCAGTAAATGTAGCTTTGAACAAGCCGGGATGCCCCTGTGTCGGAGCAATGAGGTAGGCGCTGGACAGCCGTTGTGACATTTAACCTCCATTTTCAACTTCCGGGTGCATACCCCTGTACCCCTTCATGTGTCTGGCAGAAAACGGAGATCACTTCCAGCATTGCATGTAATGCAATCGATTACACATACATCAAGGTATGTTGCATATTTTTTGGTTTAGATTGCTTCATCCTAACGGGAGTTACAACAGAATATTCAGGACCTCTTTCGAGTGAATCTCCCTCTAGTTTTTAAAGCTCTAAATGACCATAAAGCACCGCTTACATCACAGAATGTCTGTCTGTTTATGTTCCAACATGTGATCTTAGATCTGCAGATACTGGCCTTCTGCAAATACCTTCAGTAAAATACAGAAAAAATGTAGAGAGGCCTAGTTCAGTTATTATGCTAGTATTTCCAATTCCACCCTCTATTAGACAGTCAAGCTCAGTGCACACTTTAAAGAAATATTTAAAAACATATCTCTTTAACTAAGCATTTACTTAAAACTATACATATCTTGGTATTTATCCTTTTAATTGGATCTGTGTCATTACCTTATATGATTTTAAATTAGTACTCCTAATTTCTTCTATTACCGTTAAGCTTTATCATCTGTCTGTAAAGCACTCTGAGCTGCCACTGGCATGAAAAGTGCTAAATAAATAAAGATTTTTATTATTATTGTTATTTATTATTATTATTATTATTATTATTATTATTATTATTGTAAAAGAACACACAGCTTACCTGCAGTGATGGAGGCTAGACGGACATAGTCATAACCTTTCTCCACTGATTCATATGGATAACTCTCCACCAGGTTCAGCCCTAAAACAGACAGGATAGTACTTCTCAGCACACAGCAACTTCTCAACACCCGTCAGACAACAGCTAATAAAAGGCCTACATTCTAAAACACTTTGAAAGCTCATTGGTATTTCAGAATGAGTACCCAAATACTTGTTCTCATAATCAGGCTTAGAAACAGTAAAATTAGCTCCAGCCATCTAAGTGCTGGCCCTAACATTGGCAGGTTTGATTCCCAGTGATGACACATCCATCTATGGAGAGAGCATAATTGGCCATGCTATCTCTGGATGGGTAGAATGGTCCTCCCTCTCCTCCTCTGTTAGCTGATATACCAGAATTGGCAGTTAGTGTTCTCCTACAAGTATGTTGAGCTTTTCAATTGCACTGTGTTATTGGCAGTTTGAAAAGATGTATTGGTGCTTCACAGGCCTCAGAGGAAGCATGTGCTAACCTTCACCATCCCAGATTTGTAGCATCCAGTGATAGTAAGAGACCTAGCCAGCGGACCTAGCCAGTGGGTGGGAAATGGCCACAGTTAAATTGGGGGGCAAATGGGTAAAAGTCCAAAACATTAATAATATTTACGTTTTATAATTAATATTTAAAAGAGTGTACTAGTGCAAATTAACTGTGCATGTAGCCTAGCAAGCAGTACATGGATAAGTATCACTATACTAACATATTTGAGATTATTCATCACACTTGCTCTCTTGTATTACAAATTTTGCCCTGAGAATTTTTTTCTTTTTAGAACTCCAGTAATTTTGTGCTCTCACACACATTTCTTTATAAGGCATCTTTGCTGTTTGCTGTTTTTTTGTGGAAAGTGGTTCAGTTTGTTGCAACCTGAGGCGAGGTGATACAGGTGCCTGGCATGAATTTAAGATGTATTCAACTGAACCAGTTATAATTTAGTAATTTTTTACATTTTACATATATATTAACAATAACCTATTCTATCTAAAGGCTTTTGCTAAAGAAACATTTTTTTTAGTTTAGGCTCCAATTTTTGTGGCTTGAAAAAACTTTACAGGAGAAGGAAAAAACATCCTTAACTTTTAATGGAAGTAAATGGATAAAAGATTTATTCCAACCATTTCTACTGGTCCATTCGCCATCAAATTTTGACACAATATAAAGGTCAGCTGGAAATTTGTGAAAAATGAAAAAGATGTCCTGAATGTCCTGATAGCAATTATATACTTGAGAATTCAAATTATTAAGGCTTGCCCTAAAAATATTCAGTGTTCATGTTAAATGACAGCACACATCAACTAAATTCTGCACTAAGAAGAGTTATGTAATCACATAAAAGAATTACGTTGCTTAGCAACCCCAGTCTGAACAACACCGTTAACTGTGGTAAAATGTACGGAAGTCCAGAGAGGCCATAAGGTAGTTATAATTTTCTGGATTATTATCTTGAGATAATGAGTTAGTTATCTTGAGATCACAAGATAATTAACTTGTTATTTCAAGATAACAAAGGAAATTATAGCAGCAGCTCATGGCCTCTCTGGACTTCCATAAAAATGAGTGTAACTTTTTTTTTTTGCTATGCATTTTTCATTTGTTGACATCGAAAAAATGGAAAAAACAGACGCGCAGGTTTAGAATTTGTCAATAAAGAATGTAAATCAAATGCAAATTTAACGATGTAATGTACATTGACTGTAGAGTTAGGCAACAACAATAACAGGACTTCTAAGGGTTAACAACTGTTTGCTTTTGTTTTTGTTTTTTTGTTTTGCAATTCCGCCACTGCTAAATGTCACAAGCCCCATCTCACCATGTATGCCAGACTGGTGGAGACTCCAGTATATACTGAGGCAGTTCTTCTCTCTCTTCATGCCGCGTCTGCACTGGCAGCCATGCAGGGGGCTGGAGAGCAGGGCGGACACAGCATTGGCACACTGACTCCGGGCCCCGGGGCCCAGCTTCACACTGCCGTCGCCGGCCACACACTGCCTCAGGGTTCTGAGACGCGGACTGCAGGTTTCATCACTGGAGCATGAATCCCCGGCCAGCAGGCAGTCTCTACCAGCATACAACAGCACCTGCAGAGCTGCAGAAACACACACACCAGGATCAGAGCAGGGCTGAACTGTACGGGACAAATGAGAAGTCAAGATTAAAGCAATGGTTTGAATAAATATCTAATTTACACAGTTTCTAACAAGTAATGGAACATAGGTGCAAGGTTAGCCCTATGCAGGCTATACGGCTAAATCATCACACACCTGCCTATAATTGTTTTGTTTTGTTAAGTAATCTCAAGTAGACTATCTTTCTGACACTGTATGACACACAGTTATCTATAAATATGGATAAAAGTATGTCACATAGCTAATAGTATTAACAGCAGCCATATTGAACCATCATTTTATCCATGTGGAACATCTTGCTTTCCTGATGCAATTAGATGCTTTTCTGATGAAATCCTTAAGGTACGGCACTCATACAAGCTGTTGAAGCCGTATGTCTCAGACGTGGCACAGCATTTAAAGGGTCCATATCTTGGAAAAAACAAACTTCCCTCACTTCTTTAAATGAAGGAGTTTGAAGCAATTTGTAAGCACTGTTAAAGTTTTAAAATGTACCTTTGACCATGCAGTCCATACAGTCCATAAAACCATGCTGCATGAACAGCCCATTTTGAAGGAACTGATTCTGTGATGTCACAGGAACCAACTAATTTACATTCATCCACCTATTCATTTGGCCTGCAGAAGTTTAGCTCCATCCATTAAGTTTTATGGAGAGTTTCAATTCTGAGTGCTATTGGAATAAGATAATCTACATATTACAATTACATATAAAGGTACTGTAACAAAATCAGCCTGTTTAATTGTGAGGGATAAAGAGAGGTTGAAAAATGTTCATATAAAAATTAATTATGATGTTATGGTACATAAAATTACACAAATGTTTTAAGCGGATCTCAAGGGAAACAATAAAAATAGAAGAAAATTGTAAGATAAGGGTCCATTAAAGAACAGGAGTTGTGTCTTTTTTTCCAATTTAAAAAATGCAGTATAATAAACAGAAAGCAGGATAAGAACATAAAAAGCTATTTTTACAATTGAAAATGACTGTTCTCAAATAAAATACTAGCTAAACTAGCTCATTGTAGGTCTACAAGGCTTGAAACTATTGCCCAATCCCAAGTCAGAAAGCCACTAAGAGTAAACAAATGTATTGTGTTCATTAAATGATATTTTATTGAGTAACTGATCTGACCATTTGAAAAAAGGATATCTATAGAACTTGCTGTTCCACTCTGCAGCGCAAATGCTGTATATCTGAAAGGCCAAAGTGTGCAAGCTGTAGCACCTTGTTAATGTCATGCAGAAGTGGCATGAAACAGGCCTAATCTTCTCTTACTTATTAGCTATATTAGCCTTGTAGCTCCAAAACTAAAGAAGCAAACTGCAGACATGAAACATGTCTTGGCTGATGGAGTACTTTTGGGGTAAGAAGAAAACTGTGTAAATTTTTGACTCAACAACCATCTTACACCTGTATTCTGCTCCCCCTGACTCTGACTAATGACTTGATTTATTGCTACGTGAGGTATTTGCTTGAATATCATTCTTTATCTGCATCAGTAGATGTTTGTATGTTTACTTCTTGCTTGCAGTTTTTTCTGTAAAAAGCCTCTCTACATCAAGCACAGACTATCTATTGCTATTTTTGATGTTGTGTTATGGTGATGGGACTCAAACTGTGTTTGTAAAGCTTTGTAAACACTGTACATCTAATGTATTTAGTAGATACTGCATGTGTTGGGAAAGCAGTCAGTTGATTTAACAAATCCCCTTACTGTTGGGAAAATTAAAACAGCTCAGATTTTAGAACATGCTGAGCTGCGAATCCCAGAGATTTGAACTCGACTTCGCTGAGAGAGCCAGTTTTAATGCATTTTAATGACATTCACGACAACGTGTGAGACAATAGCTCGTTCCCGAAGCGAGGCAGAAAATACTAAGTAACTAGAGGCAGGAACACAATCTTTCAGCTCGTAAATTTAATTGCATCAGAAAAGAGCTCTGGGCAAGGTTCAAACAAAAACGACAAGTGTGTTATTTTGAACAGATTTATGCATGTGGTGCAGTTTTGAACCTACGACTCTGTCAGAAAGCATCATCTCTGCGCTTTCCATATTTGCGGACTATTTGGAGGAAGTGTGGGTGCTTCAGCTTTTCAGAACCATCCCTGTGAGAATGTAACATGGCATTTCATCCAGCGGTGAGCCTGCATTGATAGCTCAATGTTTTCAGACACATCTGGGGAACGACATAACCGCGTACGTTGAGCAAAGTCACAGAAGTTCTGACAGGCGAGCCATATGCAGGCATTTCCGCGGAGGCAGCGCAAGGCTGGCTACCATGACTACACACATGAGAATAAGCGAAGATGACAGGAGGCACAATGAGACTTTCCTCGTATCTTGCCAGAGCATTGTTCGCCATCAGCAACTGCACAGGAGTAGGGGAGGGGATAAATGCGTTTGATATGAAAGCTGGCTAGCAATACTCGGATCAAACCGAGCACAAGAGACAAGATCATACACACTCCACTATTCTCTCTCCTCCACCAAAAGCCATATAAATGAGGAGAACAGTCCAAACCTCCCACTTTAACCATGTCCAATTTAAGTGCAGCCTTTGTTTATCAGAGCACTATGCTAATTGGTGGTCATGAGGAAGACACGAAGCAGGGTTTCAAGAGGGAAATAGGAGAAAACCCTTGTTCGCTAAGTGCTTCACAATAGCTCCTCGAGTTTGGCTTCTTTAACATGCCGGGACGATAATTGCCGCATTAATGACTGTGAATGTGCGCAGTGATTAATGCGATGTGCTACCTTCATTAGGAAAAAACCTGTCACTCTGAGCAATCCTGCTTCTCCATGCTACAACTAACAGCATGGTACAGGTGAGCTGAGTTAATTGAGCTACTGGAGTTACCGCTGAATGCTTACTTACACTTCAATGGAGCCATCCTAATAACACACTCTTAATGAGATAATTTGTGGAAGTGAATATTTGTTCAAAACATTTAACTGCAATGTTTTGTAGTGGTGGAAAAATGCATCAGTGACTGATGTATTGATATTGAAATGTTTCAATCATAGTTGATTAAAATAATACTGTAACATTTACCACTATTAACGATGCATAGTTGATGCACAAGTCATTGTGTTTTATTAAAGGGCTGTAGGTGGCCACAGCCACGCCGTACACAAGGACAGCTTTGTCAAACAATTCGCTCTAAGCCTCCCTACGTCTCGCTGCTCCACCGCCATCACTGTACTAACTCGGTACTTCCTAGTCTATACAGAACACAGCCAAAGCTAGCCCCGCCTTCAGAACAATAATCCTTATAGAAGGACCCAACAAAAAAAATGCTGAAAAACAATTAACCAAAAATGAACATGCACACATTATTAAACATGCTACAGTACTTAATCATAATTATAATAATCTTTAATAATGTCATGTTTATTTTTATTTTTTATGTGTTCACTTTTTGGCCTTTATAAGATTCCTGGGCATAGAAAATTTCACTTTTTCAAAGAAATCTTCAGGGATATTTTTCCACACCTCTTAGAAGTTTCAGTCTGAGAAGTTGGTTACATTTTCTGCTTCTTACAGTCTAAAAAATCTCAAACACATTCAATGATGTTGAGGTCTAAGGTCTTCTCACAGTGGAAGGATGGACAGACATACCTATGGATTTTTTTCAGATCTGAAGCAAGAGTGGAGCTTAATTTCCTCTCACAGACAAAAGTTTTAAGCACTGTTTATCTGATAATGACAGTTCTGGTGGTCTTGCATAGTTGTTAGGAGTCTCTTTTTCTCTGCAGCTTTTAATCATTTTTTGATCTCCAGTTCTGGAAGCTCCAGTTCTGTCATATTGACTTTCCCCTTCCTTATACAAGTGGATTATCTTCTAGCTAATCTCCTCAGAAATATCTCCTGAAAAAAAGGAAATGTATGCATAATGGCTGGAAATGAAATAAATGATGAGTGGTCTCTGACTTTTACAGAGCACTGTATGTACACATCTATGTTTAATAATATTCTGAATTATACCAAATTAATCCAATCAAACTGAATCATGAAGCGTTTCTTAAAGAATCATAACATAATTGAATCAGGTCAGAGATTTATATCTATAACATTTCAGCACCATAACTGTATGAATCCAAAAAGAATTAAATTCCTTCGCATTAAAAAAAGAAAGAAAAGGAAAAATAGGAAGACATTTGTAACGACACCAATGCTTTCACAACCCTGTGATGGGTCAATGGGAAACGGAGAAGGCGAGCAGTATGAAGCATGTCATATCGAATAGCAGATTAAATCAAATCTTCGAAACCTATTGTGACAAGGCCAAAGCATTCAAGTCTATTCATGTGGAGATTTTCACATTCGACAATTGGCAGTGACCCGTTACTTCATAAGCCTCTGCTTTATTCTCTTTTAGAATCAGAGATTTGCCGCACCACCAAAAACGTACCTGTGGATGAATACAGCAGCCAAAAAGGCCACTGCGTTATCAACTTCCGCTGCAGTTAGTTTACCTTCAATTCCACCATGCCAAGCGTAGCCTTCCACATGAGAGCCTTTTATATCTGCATATGCTGTAGAACCATAATTAACTGGAGCCCAGTCTCTCCACTGACAAAACAAAACTTTTAGCTTTATAGTTTAGAAACACACACACACACACACACACACACACACACACACACACACACACAAACACAATCAAAGCTTCTGCAGCCTATCATGAAAACTGCAATGCAAAATTGCTCCTCCAGTCGTATTGATCCACAAGCTGCCAACTGTTTGCAGAGCAGCCCCTAAAAGGGACCCGTGATTGTAGGAACGGCACAATTTTACAGTCTATGTGGGTACCTTAATCCCAAGTATTATTGACCTCCAATCAGCATGAGTCCTTTCAGCTGGGTCCGTCTGCTATTTGACATAACCTGCTGATGGAATATTGACCAAATCCAGGGCTCTTCTCCAGGTGGCTATAAAGTACAGGTAAAAAAAT